AGATTTGTAATGACTTTATAGTTGAAATTTGTTGTAGTAGTTGTTAAAAGTACATAAGTACTTCATGTAAAATTTGGATTTATTTGGATGGTCCAATTGTAAAATATGAGCTATTAAATTTTGAGAAGAAATTTACCTTCAGGATATATAAGTTTTTTATAGTATTTTTATCACATTTTTGGTGATCTTGGTACTTAAGGCTCATGTATTGATGTAATTGCTCCTATAGGGACGATTTTATGTATAGAATTGGTGTTTTTTTTATCTAGAGGCTTGGTTGAGTATTTAGTGATAGCCAATAGGCCAATGCTTTCTTAAGGCAAATTCTCTCTACTCAGACATCAAAGTATATAGCAACAAGTCATAGTCTAATAGAAGCAATATAGCTATGTCAACTTTTGGAGGACATTGGAGTAGTGCAAATGGAAGCATCTCCAATGGAGTAGGACAATCAAGGATGTGTTGCTTTTGTAAAGAATTCAAAGCATCATTCAAAGATCAAATACATTGACATTCAACATCACTTCATAAGAGAGAAGATTAAAATGAGAGCAATTGTTATGAAATATTGTACAATAGGAGACATGCTTGCTGATTTATTTACAAAGGCATTAATAAAAGATAGACATCACATATTGACAAAGGCATTAGGATTAAAAGCCATTGATCAATAGCAATTGTCTTCCATTAAGTTGTCCATTTTATACACTTTGTGAGCATTCTTAATTCAAATGCAATATCTAAGATTATATCTCTACCTAATATATATCTAAATCATACTTTTTATTAAAAAAAAAATTAAATATCCTATTTTTGAATATTTAAATAATAATTATGAAGTTAAAAAATGAAAATATGTATATCTTCTAAAAAGTGATATTATCTAAATTATTTATTTTTAATTATCAAAGTGGATTCTTTATTAGGAATATTTAAATAATAATTAAAATTAATAATATTTAAATAAATTAAAAGTCTTAGGTTTTGAAATTAATTCCAAATCAATTTTTTATTCTATTAAAATCCATAAATTTATTTTCTAATATTACCTACAAATATTTTTGGTATATAATTATAATCTTAATTTTAACTTTCTAAACTCTAATAATTTACAATCATTTTGGACAAAGAATATACTATTTAAATCTTTGAAAAATTATTTAAACTTATTCTATTGAAATTTATTACTTTTATTATTATTATTATTATTATTATCAGATATCTTTCTTTTTATAAATTAATAAGGATATTAAAATATGAAGATGCATAAGAAACATAATGTTTATAAAAGTGACATGGACCAATAAAAGCATGGTAAATAGAAATAGAATGATGACCTACAAAGAATAAAACTTTGTTCTATTAGTTAATTGGAGATGATTACTTTCTGTGGCAGAAGAAATTTATCTTATATATCATTATTTTTATGTTGTTTATAGCTAAAATTAGGTTAAAAAACTTTAAACTTACTCTTCACTAATTAATTGATATTCTTTAAAAATTATATCTATCCTTTTTTTGTCATACTAAAAAGATTTATTATTTAGTAGATTCTATATAAAAAAATTATTACTTAATTATATATATATATATATATATATATATATATATATATATATATAGATTTCTTCTATTTATGCATTCTTCTTTTATACAAAAACTCCATCTTTTCTTTCATTATTTTCTTTTTTTAAAATTAAATTTTATGTTTTAATTCTTTTTAAAATATAAAAGAGTTAATCTTTTTGGTAATTAGAAAAAATATCATTGTACTTTGATAGTAAAAAACATAATAGGATTTATAATCTTTCTTTATAACTTCTACTATTTTAGATTCATTCTATCTTCATTATCAATTATATTTAGAGTATTAGAATCTAAAATATTTTTTAAAATAAGAAAAAGTCTTAAAATATTAACCTCTATTTTAATTTATGAGTTATAATTTGATTTTTTTTTTTTAAATGAATCAATATCTTTGATTTCGAATTTTTGTCAAACTTTACATCTCTATTCAAAATCACTTAATTTTTTTTTAGATTTTATTGTAATACTTAACTTATGTTTATTAATAAAAATAATAATAAGTTGGTTTGAATGACAGTAACTCTAATACTTTTTTAGAATACACATTTTACTTTTTTTTTTTATTTTTAACATGCATTTTTAAAAAATTTATAGATTTATAAATAATAAAATATTTATCAAATAATACATAAAAAATAATATTAGAAAAATAAAAATTACCTTAGAAATTAAACTCCAAATTAAAATTAAAAGCCAATCTTATCTTAGTTCAAAAACTACCACAAGACAAAATATCAAAATATTCAATAGTAAATTAGGATAGAAGTAGTTGAAAGCAATTAGAGGTAGAAGCAATAAGTTTTAATTACTTTATACACCTTCAAAAAGAATTCTTTTAAGATTGAATCAATTTTAAATTTTAGCTATAAGACTTTATAGGGTAAAGAAATTTATAAAAAAATAAATAAATAATATTTTAAAAATATTATAGAAGATGTTATTAAAAAATAAGAAAGTGAAAAAAATATAAGCTATAAGAGATGCAAAAAAATAATAATTGTATTGGATACATTTCTCATATTAATATTATTGGTTTATTTAAGTACATATTATTATAAGTAATAATAAGCCCTTCCAAAAAACTTTGGTTATCTCACATATGTTTAATATTTTTTTATTATTATTAATGGAAGAATTTATTCAATGAAATAATTTTTTTATTTCATGCATAATATATATATATATAAGCATTATTTTTATAATAAAATAATACATATACTTGAGCATAATTGAATAAAAAGAAATAATATTATTAAAATAATTTACTTAGTCAAGTGAATTCATAAAAGTAACTTGGAAAAAAATACCTCAATTTTCTTTCTCCTACTTTCAAGTATGCACTCCATACAAGCAAGATCAATTTTTAGATAGCTTACATCTTTTAAAATCCTTTCTAGAGTATAATTTGGTATCTTTTATAATCCTTTCTAGAGTATATTTTAGTCTAATCCTAAATATTTTTTAATTTATTATATTAACTTAAATAAATATTAATAATAAAAAATTTTAAAAACTAGATTTTTATCTTTAAGTAATAATTATTAATTTATAGTTTACATTTAGCAGTAATCATTTTTAAAAAAATAGTTAAATATGTCATTTTTTATTTAAAATTAAATTTTAAAGCTCTTATTTTTTAAATCCTAAAAATACTAATTATTTTCTAATTATAAAATTATATTTACAATCTTTTTTATTAAATATAGTATTTATGTATTTTTTATAGATTCTTACACTTTTATATGAAAAGATATAGGATAAAAATTTATTTAATTAATCTATAGAAAATAACTTTGATTTTTAATAATACATATTTTGTTATCTTACAATAAATAAATATATTAATAAATCTACATATGTTTAGTAGAATGGGTACTTAAAAATAGCTCATATTAAATGGTAATAATATGTATGGTTAAAATTGAAATAAAATATAATATTAAATTATTTTTTCAATAAATAAAAATCTAAGAGTTATTATTTATGCTAAACATGCATAAAACTAGGCACTATAGTTCTAAACAAATTATAAACCTAGTAGACAAAAATAAAATTTAGATAATAATAGAATTTATTATATTAAGAAAATTAAAAAATATGTTTTCAAATTCTATTTATTTTAAAACAATCAAAGAATTTTAATAATATAGAAAATATGGTTCCAATGAAAAATATAAATTTTACAAAGCTACATAGATGGATAGTAAGGTATTTAATACAATTTAGACATTGATATAAAAAATATCAGCAAATAATTTAATCCACAATATTAGCTAAAACTAGCTAGCTAACTTACTTGTAACACTCAAGACAATAACAAAAAATAAAAATACAATCTTCAATACTCTCAATTTAACATTCAACCACTAACTTTAAACTAATAGACTTGGCTGAAGACTATAAAAAATCTGGACCACATGAAGAAAACTCTCACTACATCAAAAGTTTAAATCCCCACAATATCTAATTCTTTCTCAGTGGGCAATGACGGCAAAGTGCGAAGCTACCTGCCACACACGACTAAGTCCAGCCAGGTCATCTCCACTCCAAGAAACTATTCTCATTCGGATCATGGCGTCGACGTCGAAGTGGATGAATCTCCACCACGCCCCGTTATTCCAGGGCTTAGTTAATTTGAGCACAGGAAGTACCCATACCGATAAGAACGCGCCATAGCACAATTAGTGAGGGTGGCATCGATTCAGCTGCTCTTATGAGGCAGAGCCCATTTGCCCACAGCAACATTCTATAACAATTCCTTCAACCGAAGATAGACATATTTCACCTACTCTTCACTACCAATACACACCTTCGAATCGTGCCCGTAGAGACCTAAACTGAATTCCACCGAAGGCAAAATAATTAGCAGAGGGAAATGCTTTTCTCGGTCCCGCAGGGATATCAGTAGACACTGTTGTTTGTTTAGTGGAGGTTCAGCTGATGCTAAATTGCAGACTGATATCAGAATCGCCGCATCTGGGTAGGTAGCCTCCGACAGTGGGACGGTGACCGGGTGAGAGACCCCCGCTGGTTTCCTGATCTAGCAAAGTTCGCTTCCGCCAAGTGGTTTCATGCCTTGCCGAGGACTCCTGCATGCGACTATTCCTCGTCATGTGACTGCGACGTCATACTCTCCGCTAAAGACCCGGTTCAACAGGTTTGTGGCTTTGTCTTCGTGACCACTTCGCAAGAGATTGCAGCGCAGCATTTGCCTCCCTTCGACAGAATGCGTCGTAGAGAAGTGGCGCATATTTTTTAATTAGGCTTTTCTAGAATCTATATTTGGCTTGCACGCAGATTACAGTCACCTTGATTTGGTAGGCACAATTCTGCTGGCTTTTAGGCTGTATTTGTCGATGTCGAGCTCGACAATTGTGAGACATGGAGTTTGGGAATGCACCATCTCGACGTAAATGCGGACAGTGGAGCCTGGTGATGATGGTGGTCGCGATAGGGCTCAGTTCATTGCAAGCGGTGAACATTGCAGTAGCTAAACAATCCCAGTATCATCCTTCATTTCCACGTAATAATTACATTCCATATTACGAATGCAACTGATAACGGTTCTTTCTGCATAAATCGTATTCAGAAAGCTGTCCACAAAGTGCTACACAATGGTGGCGCAAAGAAGATATTGCGACTGGGTGGAGGGGGGTAATGGCACAGATCTATTAGAGCAGCGGTGGTACTCCACCAACCAGCTTCTCCCTGATGGTCGCTAGATCGTCGTCGGGGGACGCCAAACTAACACACTCGAGTACTTCCCCCCATACGCTCCTCCGTCACGGAAAGCAGGACTCATTCAACTTCAGCTTCTAAGAGACACTGCTGACCGAAGAGGATACGGCCCTAACAATCTCTACCCCTTCGTCCATCTCCTGCCAACAGGGCAACGTTGTATCTTTGCCAACAGAGACTCTATCCTCTACGACTACAATTAGAACGTGGTGGTACGGAAATTCGACAAGATCCCTGACAATCCGAGGAACTACCCTGGTGGGAGCTCGTCGGTGATGTTGCCGCTGGTCTACAATGATAACTTCAAGAAAGTTGAGATTCTAGTTTGCGGGGGAGCCGCGACTGGCTCCATAGGCAAGAAAGAAGCCCAGATGGAGTGCTCTACAAGCTGTGGAAAGCTTGACGTCTTGCGAAAAAATTCCACTTGGGTAATGGAGACCATGCCCATGCCTCGCTGTACGGGGGACATGGTCCTTCTCCCGGATTTGAACGTGATGATCATAAATGGCGTTAAGAGAGGTGAGTGCAGCTCTCTTGCTCTCAGTTCAAAGTTCCTGTAAAAGCACTGAATCTCTTTTGTCTGAGAAGCAACATGCATTGTTGAATTTCCTATCCATATGCATTGACTGGCTACGTCACTTTTTGAAGGTTTCCAAGGTTGAAAGACTGGCTCTGAGACAACTCTCAATCCAGTGCTTTACGAGCCTCGGAAGATCACCGGCAATAGATTCACGGTTTTAAACCCAACTCAATCTCCTCCAGTGTACCATTCCACAGCCAATCTCTTAACTGTAAGTCTTGGGATCAATTTAGGACACCATCCGTTTCATCCCAATCCATCATGCTGTACTTTACGACTTGTACACGGAACATGTATATTTTTTGGACGTAACGTTGGGGTAGGACTGATCGTGAGCATCTCTGGATTGATCGTATGATTCCTCAGCATGGCAGTATCATTGTGGCTGGCAGTAACACACATCCGTATACAAGCTTCAAACCAATGAAATCCAATGTCGATTTCCCAACGGAGCTGAGCGTAATCGCTTTCATGCCTCCATACGCCGAAAACGAGCCCAATTCAGGAAGACGACCAGTGATTATGTCAGTCAATGCAACCAATGTAAAATCCGGAGCAGCAGTTGAAGTAGTGTTCTGGGATTATCCTTCCGACGAGTCTTCAAAAGCACCTCCACCATCAACAGTACCTTCACCATTAACAGCACCATCTCCATTATCACCGCCGCTAATGCGAGCAGAATCGAATCCTGACAGTTTCGTCTTAACAATGACCAGCTCCCTGTGGTCGACGCACTCGTTCTCTCATGGCCAGCGAGTAGTGACCCTTAATCCCTTGAACATCACCACCCAGCCTGAAAGAAGGATGGAGAATGGACGGTGGGTGAATGTGCGAACGGTGCAGCTGCGCATCTCATCGCACTCTGCCATTCTCCCTCGCACTTACTACATGCTGTGTGTTGTGAAGAATGGCAATCCCAGCTCCTCTTGCGCTTGGATTCGGGTCCGTTAGCTCGAAGACACCACATTCGACAACCTTTCACTGCTCGATTACTGTTGAGAATGTTTAGAAAGACACAAGAGTAATAGTAAGTCATACACACACACTAGTAGTAGTAGTAAGTCATACACAAGAATGTTTAGAAAGACACAAGAGTAATAGTAAGTCATACATACACACTAGTAGTAGTAGTAAGTCATACACACACAAGGGTTTCTAAGGAGAGAGAGCTTCACACACACAAAAATCTATTGATCTGGTTGTGTCTCATACACAAGAAGAGAGAAGATAAGAGGATGAATAGTACTTCTCCACTAGACTCTAAATACTGTAGCTACAATAATTACTATAGTCTACAGTAAATATTATGGAGAGCGTCGGTTACATTTAATGATCTCAATACTCCTCCTCGCTCATCATAATATTTACATAATATAAGATTTATATAGATTTATGATCTATACTTTTCTGTGATCTTGTAAGATCAAGAATTGTTGCCTCATTAAAACCTTATCTAGGAAAATCTTATTTTATTTAAGGACAAAACCATAGATGAAGGAAAAAGAGTACAACATCATTTTCTTTAATTATTTAAAGAGCTCTTTAACTTTCTTATTCAAGAAAAGCAAGTCGCCGCATACCAATGCCATAAGTAAGTCGACGATGATTGCTTAATGGGAGAGCTTTGGTGAAGAGATCATCAAGATTATTTGTAGATTCAATTTTCTTAATTATAAGTGCTTGATCAGTAATCAAGTCATGAGTATAACTAAAATACTTTGGATCAATATTCTTTGTCATGTCGCCTTTAATGAAACCAACTTGCATCTGTGCAATACAAGCACTATTATCTTCATGCAAGATAGTTGGAGAATCATCATATGAAAATCCACAAGTTGTTTGAATGAATTTACCAATTGATCGCAACCAAATACATTCTCGAGATGCTTCATGTAAGGCAATAATTTCTGCATCGTTGGATGAAGTTGCAGTTATTGTTTGTTTCACTGATTTCCATGATATTGCAGCTCCATGTCTTAAAAATACATATCTTGTTTGAGATTTAGCTGTTGCAATATCAGATTTATATCCTACATTACAATATCCAACCAATTTTCGATCTGCAGATTTTGTGTAATATAATCCCAAGTCTTCAGTACCTTTTAAATAATGTAGTAAATATTTGATGTCATTCCAATGTCATAGTGTTGGACATGTACTATGTCTTGCAAGAACACTAATTACAAATGCAATATCTGGTCTTGTAGATGTAGCTAAATACAAAAGTGCTCCAACCGCTGCGAGGTATGGATATTAGTCTCCCAATATTTCCTCTTCCTCTTCGCATAGACGGTATGGATCATGACCATCACGACCACGTCCAACCATTGGTGTGGACAATGGATAAGCATCATTCATATTAAATCTTTGCAAAATTAGTCTAATATACGTTAGTTGGTAGAGAAAAATGCTACCATCTGTAAGATGCATAATCTAAAGACCAATGCAGAAAGTTATTTTTCCTAGCATTTTCATCTCAAATTCACGTATAAGTAGGTTTGTAGCTGTAACACATGCAGTTGTAGTGCCCACTAGGTTAAGATCATCAACATATACAGCGATGATCACAAAACCAGTTTTATCTCGTTTGATAAACAAACAAGGGATTAGTGGATCACTTATAAAATTATTTTTAATTAAATAATCTCGAAGACGTTGATAACACATTCGTCCGGATTGTTTTAAAGCATACAAGGCCTTACATAATTTAATACCACGATATTTTCCTGAAGCGGGTTGATTTAGAGTTCCTGTTTCTAAGCTAGGTGGAACTTTCATATAAATATTTGCATCAAGAGAACCATATAGATATGCACTAACTACATCCATCAGATACATCTCAAGGGTGGCATGAACTGTCATTCCAATAATATATCGAAATGTAATTGAATCCATGACTGGAGAATATGTGGATTCATAATCAATGCCAAATCATTGAGAAAATCCTTAAGCAACAAGACGAGCTTTATAGCGGGTTATTTGGCCTTGAGCATCTCGCTTGCATATTAATACCATTTTATATCCCACAGGGCGAGATGTAAGAGTGTATACAATTGGACCAAAGACTTTCCTCTTACACAAAGAGGCATACTCTTTCTCAATAGCAGTTTTCCATTTTGACCAATCAGAGCGACGCATCGCCTCTTCGATGGTTTGAGGTTCAGGATCATCTTCCTCGTAAGAAAGGGCTTCTATAATCATATATGCAAATGATTCATCTATCGTAATAGATGGTCTGTCCCAAATATCATCTATAGCACAATACAGAATAGATAATTTTTTACTCAACTTGTTCTTATTCCTTCCAATTCCAAGATTGTTTTTCATAGGAATTGAAGGTACATTATGCATGGATATATCATCATGAATTGGTAGTCCTGCAAGATGAGTGGCAATTTCTTGAGAAATAATACCAGGATTATTTAATTTTATAGCTTTCTTCTTACATGGTTGCTTATCTGATCCACGAGTTCTTTTAGTTGTTGTTGTTATAACTTGAGGTATTGTACTCAATGGCACTGCAATCTGAGCAGGTGCATTCCGAGCCTCATTAATAGGAACTCTTGTAATTCTAGGTGCATCATTGAAGCAATCAAGTATTTCATCCACGATCCGTTTTAAATGCAAAATCTTAGCAACTTCAATTTCTGCCAAAGATGTCTTAGGATCGGGATTCATTGTAAATGTTTCTAATGCTTCAAATATAAGTACTTTATTTCTTTGTTGATTGGATACTCCTCCTTGAAGAGATGGAAATATAGTTTCTTCAAAACGGCAATTTTGCAGGCGTGCACGTAATAATGTGCTAGTTGATAGATCAACAATATGAATAATGCTTGGTGAATCAAAACCAACATATATGCCTTCTTGTCGATGAGCTCCAATGATACGTTGTTGAGGTTCTGGTACTGGAATCCAAGCATGGCAACCAAATACTCGTAAGTGAGATACATTTGGAACACGACCTGAAATGAGTTCGTGTGGTGAAACAGTTTCAAGAGAAGAAGGGCGGAGGCATATTAATGTTGCAGCATGTAAAACTGCATGATCCCACAAAGATGTAGGTAGATTTGCGTGAAGGAGGAGTGGCCGCGTAATGAGTTGTATATGCTTTATAAATGACTCTGCAAGTCCATTTTGAGCATGTTCATGTGGAACACAATATGTCAATTCGATTCTTGTTGCAGTACAATAGTCTTCAAAAGATTTTGATGCAAATTCTTTTGCATTATTCATACGCAATGTATTTATAGGATAATCAGGAAAATGTGCCCGAAAGCAAATAAGCATAGATATAAGATTGGCAAATACCATGTTTCGAGTTGATAATAATGAAACATGTGATTGTTTACCTGATGCATCAACAAAGACCAAAAAATAACGAAATGGTCCTAATGTTGGATTAATAGGACCACAAACATCACCATGCAATCTTTCAAGCATTGGTGGTAATTCTTATGGAAGTTTTCAAATTGAAGACCGAGTAATCATTTTACCTTGCACGCATGCACGACATAATTCCATAGAGTCTATATCTGCAAGCTTTAAATTGTGCCCAGTTATACATAGAATGATCTTTCTAAATAATGTGGATCCTGGATGTTCCAATCGTCCATGCCAGAGAGAAACGTGACTCTCTGAGATAGATGATGCAAAATTAAATATAATAGGAGGCCGAATTGCAATTCGGTATAAACCATTTTCTGTAGCAAAAGCTTTTTCAACAACTTTATGATTCTTTGTAAGAACCAAAACTTCTTTTTTATTTAAAGTGGCGGTCGAGAGGTGATAACCATTAATACGCACATCTTGGTAGCTGATCAGACTCCGAGGTGCTGAGGGTGCAAACATCGCATGTTTACATTTTATGATGGAACGCGTAGGTAATTTTACTATCGCTATGCCCTCTTGGAAACAAAACGCATTTGCTCCAGCCATGGTCATCATATTTTTAGTTTGCCAAGTTGAAGATTTTTCAATAAAAAATTGTTTATCTCGCAAGATAGTATGTGTTGTTGCAGAATCAATGAGCGCATCATTTGATTCATCATTAGAGCTTCTATCAGTCATATAAGCCTCTAAGTCATCAACACCAATTGAATCCATGGACGCATCCATGGTATGAACTTCACGAGCCTCAGCTCGTAATTTCTTATTTTCTTGGAACATTTTAATAAAATATTCTGAAATACGGCATGCATGTGCTAAATGTCCAATCATTCCACACTTATGGCAAGAACGCATCTCTGATTTTTGTTTTCTACTATAATTAATAGTAGAACGTTTATTCTTTCCATATGGATAGAAATGGTCTTGACTATGATTACCTTGATACTTATGAGCACGTTTCCCATGTTTATATAATTTCTTCTTAGACTTTGAAATATTAAGTGCATGAGATTCAAGAATTGTAATTCCAATAGGACGAGCTTCCGCATTGTGCAAGAGTAGTTCATTTTGCTTCTCCGCAAGAAGTAGATAGGACATGAGATGAGAATGACTGAAATTTCATATTCCTATATTGTTGTGCAAGCACAGCAGATGCAGGAGGAAATGTAGAGAGAGTTTTCTCAATCATTTCTTCTTCAGAAATGCTTTGTCCACATAATCGTAATTGTGAGACTATACTATACATTTCACTATTGAAAGCATTTAAATTTGGAAAATCCAAGACATATAAATGTGTCCAATTATGACGTGCACGTGGAAGAAAAATGGTCTTTTAATGATCAAACCTAGATTTAAGATTCTTCCAAAGTTCTGCAGGGTCTTCCATTTCCAAATATTGATGTTGTAATGTGGGTACAAGATGACGACGAAGGAGAAGAAGTGCTTTTCAACGAATAGCAGGAGATATAGAAATACTTGTTGCAGGAGATTCTTCAAACATAATGGCATCCGAGAGTTGTTCTGCAAATAAATTTGCTTTTGCTCTTTTTGCCCATAATAGATAATTGTTTCCATCCACAGTCAATGGTGAAAATAAAAGAGCTTGAAAATGTTGGGATGCACTGGTAATAGTAGGAGCCATAGTAGAAGCAGTTGAAGATGTTGAAGCACTCATTATAAATAAATCTGTAAAGAAAATACAAGATCAAGTAGAAAAGTTGAGTAAAACGTACCTTAAAATATAAAGTCAAATAAAATTATAAACTTGAACTTGAAAAAACTAAAATATATATATATATATATATATATTTTTAAGGAGAGATAGTTGTAGATTAAGGCAGTAAAACAGCAATAAAATGGCGGCAGCAGGTAGCGGTAGGGCGGCAGCGGCGGGCAACGGTGGACAGCAGCGGCTGGCAACGGCGGGCAATGGTGGGCGGCAGCGGCGGGCAGCAGCGGACAGCGGCGACGGCGGGCGGCGGCGGCAGCGGCGTTAGGGCGGCGACGGGCGGCAGCGTCAGCGGCGACAGGGTGGCAGCGGCGGATTCGGCGTCTGTTTGGCGGCAGTTCGGCGGTAGTTCGGCGTCTGTTTGGGGCGCAGTTCGACGTCTGTTCGGGGCGCAGTACGGAGCAGGGAGCAAGCAGAGGGTGGAGTTGGGCTAGATCAAGTATTCAGAGCAAGCAAGGCAAAGAGTGGAACAAGTGCTCTAAGCAAGCAGCTAATGTGTGAGGTGCCAGCAAGAAGAACAAGATCATGACCCAGACACTAAGCAAGGTAGCAACAGGTTTGAAGAGTCAAAGACTAGAGCAAAAAAAATTGTGATAGTGTGTAGAAGAGAATCGTGCTGATAACGTGTTGAGAATGTTTAGAAAGATGCAAGAGTAATAGTAAGTCATACACACACAAGGGTTTCTAAGGAGAGAGAGCTTCACACACAAAAATCTATTGATCTGGTTGTGTCTCATACACAAGAAGAGAGAAGATAAGAGGATGAACAGTACTTCTCCACTAGACTCTAAATATTGTAGCTACAATAATTACTATAGTCTACAGTAAATATTATGGAGAGCGTCGGCTACATTTAATGATCTCAACAATTACATCTGGTAAGGATCAATCGTGATGGATCTTCAGAAGAGGTTGCTTTCGTGTCCAGATTTTTTTTTTTTTTTTTTTTTTTTTTTTTCTCGTTGGCGTGGAAATTGTTGGTGACATTCACCAGTCGGTGGTAGATACAGCATAATTAATGATTGGGCTGAAGGACCCCAAAATTGAGGTTATTGCCTCGGATACGACTCTTTGCTATATAAGTTTAGATCCTGATTATTTTTCTCTATGAAATGTCGTAAAGTTTCGTTTTACTTATTTCTAATTCACACACCATGAATCACTTGTTGATCTATTTTTATCTTATTTATTTTAATATTTATTCAATTGTTCCTTTCCCCTCTAGGGTATCAGGTTAGATTATGTCTATATATGCATGTATTAATATTAAGCTCAAGAAAATGATATTTTATCGATTAATTATGTATGTATGTGTATATATATATATATAAATGTTTTTTTACTAATATTAATTTCTATGTATATTTATATCTATGTATATTAATTTGATTAAACTTAATCAATTGTTAATATACATAGATTTAAATCTATGTATATTAATTTGATTTAAATGTATTAATTTGGTTTCAATTAATAAAAATAATTTCAAGAAAAAATAACTGAAATGTATAAAGAATAAATAGATATAAGAAAGTCTCAAAAGCTATAAGAAGAATTAACTCAAAAAATAAATTGACAAGACAAAAGAATTAATTAAAAATAATAAAAATAATAAAATTTGATAATATTTTATAGAGTAGCTTCTAAAAAGCTTTATAGATACAAATTTGACTTTCTAAGTATTTGTAGGTGATTGATAGGATGTTTGTAAGTTGGCCACATATAGCACATATTAGTCACTTATTATATAAATTGGCCATGTGGTGCACATATTCAAAACTTATCTTGTAAGTTAGATATGTATCCTATAAGTTAGACAAGTATTAGATGACTTATAGAACATCAAGTTGAACACATATCAAATGACATATAGTCTTTTTTGTATTATTTTTTTTGCTCAAGAATCTCTAGTCTCTTTATATTTGACGATAGTCAATCTAATTTTTATCTTATATCTATCTTTTATTTGTTTACTTTCTCTTTTTCAGTATTATAAGAGTGTATTGCTTCTTTATTATTTTTATTATGATTCATGTTCTTGATAATACCTTACTACATTAACTATTTTAAAGAATTTTTTACAAAATTATAAGAAGTTTTTTGAGAAGCTTTATACAAGACTTTCTACTTAAGAACTTATAGAAATTTCTTAAGAAAGTCATGTAATGTAATTTGGTTTCTAAGTTGTTCTAAATGCTTCTAAAAAGAACCACCTAACTTAATTTAATTCCTAAGCTATCTATTAGATGTTTCTATAAAGCTTATAAAATATTCTAAAAATATTCATTAAAATATATAATATTTGAAAAATTACTAAAATATTCTTTAATTTATTTGTCAACAATACAAAGTTAAATCAAAATTTGTTCTTTAGATGTGCTTAATTCATTTGTTTAAATCATTTGGCAACAACCAAATCTTTTCTAAATTCGACAATTTATATAATACAACTTATCTATCTTCTATTCATAATGGTCTTAATCTACTGCTTCATTTTATCAAAGAAATTAATTTTAATTGCTTCAACTTTGTTCCAAAGTTGAACAAGTTTTATCAAATTATTCTTTACTTCTTATTTATAATTTAGTTGTCTTTAAAGTCTATTATGTCAAAAGAAATCTGATTTTTGGATATTATTTTTTAAACATTAATATACTTGTACAATCAGTTTATTCTCTATCACTATCAATTTTCTTTATTTACAGGTCTTATTTTAGACCTTATATATTTTTTTAGTTGTTTAGGTAAGCTTCATTTTAAAATCAAACATTCTCTTTAGTTTATTTTTTTTAAATATTATTTTTTGCAAATTATTTTTAATCAATTTGCATTTCTACATCTAAGTAATAATATCCTATATTTTCTTCTTTCTTATTTCATTAGGTAAGTTATAATTTTTTTTTTTTTTATATATAAGTTATATATTAAAAAAAATATTCTTATTTTAATCTTATTTTTTTACTTTTAGAGTTGATCTCAATTTTTTTTATACATTCTAGTAAAAATTGTGATAATTTAGCATATATATATATATATATATATATATGTAAATCCTACTAATACACCTTTAAAAATAAAATGTAGTGATGTTGGTGGAAAAACAAGAAAGAGTGTCAAATGTAAAAGCAATAGGAGATTAAGACTATAAAGACAACAATGGCAAATATAAGTGGTAAGAGTATAGGTTTCATTTTTTTGTATTGTAATTGTGGTTGAATTAAGATGTACTTGAAGTAAATGTGGTAAAGCAATGAGACATATAGAGACAAGCAATTCAATGTGATAGGATGAAAGAAGGTAATTCAACACAAAAACAAAGGACTTAAGATTTAGACAAGAGATTGGTATAAAAGTAATACACAATTGAGAAGAGAAGACATTTGTTGAAAGAACAATAGTATAAGAGAAAAATAATAATAAACAAGGCGTAAGGAAAAAAAAAAAAAAAAAAAAAAAAAACTAATAGTTTAAGTAAAGAGGATTGAATGATCATTAACTAAAGAGATTTGCAAGAATAAACAAAGACGATGTGAAAAAGATAACAATACAAAAGCATTAAATGGTGGATTAAGATGTGGCAATAGCACTACAAAGTAAGTGCCAAAAACAAAAAAGTAAAGCAATGTACAATGTTATAAAGAGCAAGTATGCCTAAAATTAAAAAATTAAAATTAAAAAAATAAAATAAAATAGATTTTTTAAATAAAAAATAAAACTAGTAATTTTACAAGGAAAAAAAATTAAAATTTTGTGTAATTGGATGTGAGAAAATTGATTGCATGGTAGGAAAAAGCCAAATAAGAGCAAATCAAATAAACAAAAATAAATAAATATTTGGAATCTTACACTTTGGGTGTGATTATGCCAATTTTGTCAACATGTAATAAATTTACTGTTTGACAAATTTACTTGCTTCACAGGAATATTTAAGTTGTAATCAGCTAAAAACCTTATCTTTTCTTTAAAAGCCTCTATTATTTGTAAATCTACATAACCGAACATTGTATTCAATATATTCATACATTGAAAATGTTGCTATCTATTAGTCTTCTTTAATTCAAAAAATGTTGTAAGCTTCCCTAAAATTAATCTTTGTGAAGTAAAATGGAACAGGGTCGACTACTGCGACACATGCTTTTTATCATTAGTGCGCCTTACAGAATTTTTCTCAAGAACTTGGTTATGGAGTCCGCAGTCAAGCTGTTCGTGAATCGCAGCTAGATCTCTGAAGCGATTCACAACCTACAATGTTCAGTTTCTGCGTCTTGATGTTTACAAGATTGGATTCAACAGTGAAGTTATCGGGTGTGGTATTCTAAAGTGAACTTGCCAAGATTGTGCTCCCGAAGTCGAGAATCCGTCTGTACTACGATGAATCAGAAGCATTATTTAGGCAATAAACTGAGTTTCGTCCAAGTGTGAATTAAATCGTAGTAAATTTTCTAAATTCATTACCTGCAGCTTGAGTTGTTTGTTTTGGTTTTAGGAGGTAGACCTGCAATGTGTCACTCATCAACAGTGGAATCATCGTTCATTTTGTTCCAAGTATTGTCTACTACGACAAGAACCATTAAAGTTTGTATATGTGTAAGAATAGTATCATCTTAAATTCTGGCCAGCAAGGTTTTTCCAGGGTGATAGAGTCGCACTTCGTTAGATACTTCACCACATAAGACTACATTCTAGGGTCCCTGAGCAGCAAAGCCGCCTGTATCCTTTTCAGCTAGGGAGTTATGCAGCACTCCATTGAAACCATTAATGCGGAGATGACGGAAGGCGAGGAATGATGGTGATTTAGGACTCTCACTGTAGTAGGCAAGCTCTGGAACCTGCAAGAATGACGAACTTTTGTTACCCACCTAACAACAAATCGGTTTCAAACGAGAGAAACAGCACACCGGTCAAGTTCACGGGCCAGAGGTCGGCATTGGAGAAGCGGCAGAAGCAGATCAGGGCAAGACTCTGCAGCCTGTGATTTTTTCTTTCTGTCTGTGTGCTTTGTATTGATAAACTGGCTTTTGCATTCAGTTGGGTACTTTGTCACTGTCACAATCCGTTTTGTATCCTCTGGACCCTGATTTGAGCAGCCTAACAGCTTTGCCACGATTGCAATCACTCTCTGATGAATGGTGCAATTGTGGCATTGGATACAAATTGGTTGGTGGCAGGCCTAGGTGACTTTGGAGCTTGACTTCGGCTGTTGCAAGCTTTTGCACAACTGGGATACGTGACTATATCATGCTTAATCCCAAGGTTGAGCACGTCGAAGACACAAGAGAATCTTTAGCCAAGTATCATGCACACTGTGGATGCAGGAACATTCTCCATTTACATACCAAAGGATTTCTCTCTCCCTTTCGATCCCTATTTTAATTTGGATGCCAAAATGTTGCGAGATCTTAATAAAACCTTGAACAGTTTAATAAACAGCGTA